ATGCCATTTATAACCGAAACCGCAAAACGGTACCTTTAAGGCCATGCACGCCTTCCCATCTTTCACAGATTTTTCTCACTCGATTTGGATTCCAATAAATTGGAAACTATATTCTTTACTTGCAATCAGCACTATCAATTTCGGTGCTCCTTAGGTTTCATTGTCTTCATACTCTCATGAATGTTTTCTTTCCGTATGCGTGCATCACTAATTAGAATGCATGGGAGCATCCAACAATTTCCCGCATACAATCATTCTACGAGAAATTCATTGTTCGTTGCCGCCGAATGATCTCCGTCCTTACTATTTCGCCACTTCTTCCATTTCACAGGAGGGCTTTATTGCAAGTCAACCCTGGCGTCGTGGCATGTTTCCAGTGACCTACGTAAAACGTCATGTGGTAAACTGAGGGCACGCGTCCAACCGCGACTCTGGACCAACTGATCACAGACTGGCTTGCTGTTGATTCCTTCCGGTCATTGTTCCTCCCCACCCGTGTATTCGTAGGCACAGCGCCCGATACCCCTTCACCGAGGTAGTCCGAGCAGTGCTCTGTGGAGAATTCATACACGAAAAGGATCACTTGCTTTCACTGTGGCCCGTTTCTTGCTTCGTTTGATTCTCGTTCGTTTTTCCAGCCGGATGTTCAATCAGCCCATTGAGGGTCCAATGATTTACCACCACCTGTTATTATGATCGACTCTAATATGGGTGTTCATGATTGAAACGAAACTATCTATAAATATTTATTTAGGGTAATATATTGATTCGCACACTGCTATTGCGATCGCAAGTTCTTCTCTTATTTGTCCACATCTGGAAACCACCGTACAGTACTAACCATTACCAATGGCCAATAATTAGGTTGCATTTACTCTCGCCCCGTACCATCACCTTCTCGTTTGGCTTCCTATCTTCACGCCTTCTTTCTCGCGCTTGTTACCTTTACTTGCTGTTTTTGTTTTGTTTTTGGTTTTCCATCCCGCTCTGATCTCATATTTCGCACGTGCTTAAAAAATCCGATTGACTATTCCACCAGCCACCTGTGATCATTCTACAAATGGGCGAGAAGATTCGTACCGACTACTGTTGATCTGGTTTTCTGACCCTCCCAAACTACCAGTCCTCTTTGCGCATATATTTGACCTGCCTCCGTGCAACGCTTTGATTTCAGTTTTTTGCCAGCACTTCAGTCAAACCTGCCCAAATCCCAATCCCTTAGGCCTCTTGCCTCTATACCGTTTATTGTATTGATCAGTCTCACGCATGTACATGGATTTGGCTTTCTTTTTTGTGACATCGCACATAAGATTCGTTGTCACATCCCAGATGCATGATTGTATCATATTGGTCTCTCCCCTATAGACTCACTTAATCATTCTTTCTGTTTCGGTTTATATATCTATATGCTATCCTGGTGGAACCACGCGGGGTTTCTCGATTTGGTCTATCGCCCCATTCCCACGTCATTGATGTACTCAACTTACCTCGCACTCTATGCGCCTTCCACCGTGGCGGTTCGCCAGTATTCTATTGCTTTTCGTGCATTTCACGAGTTTGGTGCTGCTACGATGTGTGTTTATTTCTAGCTGTTCTGTATATTTGAACATTTTGTCTGTGAAGAGAAAGGAATCAAAAACTATGCATCAAAATGAGCGCGTCTCTTTGTTCCTTTCGAAAACGACTATGACTTACTGGTCATCAAAATGCACCAACAACTATTACAGGGGCTTCTGTGGGAGAACATTTAAAGCAAGTAAGCGCGCTTGCCGATCATATGCCATTTAGCAGCGATCAGCAAAATTCTCTTTACTGTATTTTACTGTACGGTCACGAAATGCCATCTCGCAACTAGAATTCCGGGTTTTCTTGTTCATTATCCTGTTGGGAATCAATACAAAAGAGAAAACTTGTAAATATTGATGGTTCTGGTGTTCACGAAATCCTCACATGACGATTTGCTCAGATCGAAGAATGCGTTTAGGCGACTAGCAGTGATTCATTTTTACACACCTACCGTTGTATGCGAGCTCATTTAATTATATGAGCCGTAACGTAACCTAAGCATGCTCCACTTTTTCTAATATTTGACGACTATGGGCTGACTGAAGGCGCTCGCTTACCGTGCATAAACCTGGTAACCGTTCTCTTTCTTACTGAGTACAGACTGAACCATTTACTGGTCTGCACAACGCTAA